CGCCACAGACTTGCGATTGCTATTTCCCGACCCTGGAAAAAGCAATTGGGCCAGAAGAGGGACGAGAAGAGGGGAGAAAAGAGAAGGGATGAGCCGGCGTTCCTCAACAACAGCATGGTTCCTTGGGAGTCTCCAGTCCCAACGCAAACCAATTTTGGCCGATAGTGGGAAAGCCCCACGCGCGAAAGCTTCGCGAAGGTCGTGCGAAAGGCCTGGAAAAAAGTGAAAGGAACATTGAACAACCCCCGTATGAAAGGTGTTTATGGTGCTTGTGGAGACACGGATAGACATGCTTGAAATCCATTTACAGGCATGATCAACAGTGACCACGTTGTGAAAGTGGTACCCGGATGTACTTCCTATGCGGCTTGATATGAAGATTATGAAGGTGTTTTCCACTGCCTTACCTGGCTGTCCAGGCGAAGTGAGTTTTCACGCGTCCTGCCCATGTGAAGGTGAAAGCCCTGTGATTTGCCGACCATGGGACCATGGTCGTGTGTTTTCCGGGCGCCTTCCCCCAATCGCTTTCCGTCATTGAAGAGGAATGTCTGAGCGAATTTTGGCGGTTGAACCGTTGGTTCCTAACGTTGAGCCAATCAAACCCCCTTGTATTGGAGAGTGCAGACCCCCTTGTAACATCTTGTAACACCGTTTTGGTAGGGGAGGTCTACATTCATCGACACGACTACATGAATTCAATGGTAATTGGGGAATGTGGACAACTCTTTGTTGTGCAGGACACCGGGAAAAAACGGTTCCACCCATTGTGAACATTTGCTGGTTTTAACCTGGGGCAAAAATTCATTTAAAAACATATCAGCTGCATCATATCATATGCTTCAACATCAATCATCACAGGAGAACTTGAAATACCTCAAATTTACCATAGGATAGCGACACAATTGACATTGATATTTGTTGCACGTTCCATGCCGCAAGGTGCTACAGCGAAGTCCTTCAAGTCCTTTGCCGCTGCTTATGTTTACCAATTTGGCGCGAACAGGACAACAGCGAGGCCATCATCCTAGCCCAAGACATTCAGCGCTTTTTCGATATCTACGAGCGGAACTTGGATCGCTATGCTCTCTCATCGCAGGTTTCTGAGACAAAACGTGCAGTCCCCAAGAAATTGGGGAGAACCAAATCTATGTGTTTGATAGGCAGTGGGTTTTCAGAGGTATCAGGTATCACCTCTACTCATTGCTGAATCAACCCTTTTGGAAAGTTTTTCAGGATCTTGATGGATTTTGCCCACCACGTTGGCACAAGTTTGGCCAGCGATTCTCCACGAGCAACTCATTGTAATCGGTGCAGCGGTGATAGTGACACCCAGTTGGAAACTCAAATATCTCACAATTTATCATCAGGTTTTGAGTGGTTTTGCTACAATACTTGATAGGAACTGATAGTAATTACTGCATGTGATATTCAATGATATTCTGCTTTCCTGCTATATACTTTACAATTTTTACAATTATAAAGTATTATCATATTATCTATTACAGAGAGAGAGAGAGAGGGAGATGTGGCTTGGTGGAGGGTATGATTCAACACCGGAGGCATCGATCAAAAAATAGCCAAGCTTTGCATTTTGCTTCTCGGTTTTCTAGACCCTCCAGCACGTACGAATCCCACCCCGCAAAAGAGTCGCATGAAATCGGGGTGATGAAACCTTCGAGTTTTTTCCTTCGTCTCGAAACCGACCACCGAGACGGAACGTCGTTTCCACGTCACGTCAGCTGCGTCTCGACACGCACGGTGCGCGTCGTCCCGCGCACGGTGTGAGGTGTGGGCGATCGCTCGGAAATTGTATGCCACCCGCATGTTCCACAGCTTCTGCGATCGCGGGGAACCGGAGAACGCCTTGGACGTCTTCGACCGAGAGCAGCTGCTGTGTTGGGGCGCTCCCGAGGCGGAGGATGAACCGGTTTGGGGTCCGGTGTGCGGTTTGGATGGTGTGGCTGGCAGCATTTGACAGGTGAAACGTTAGGATGCCCATAGACAAACTATGACAAACTTAATATACCCAGAAGTGTGTGGCGGTGGACACCTCAACGCTTCAAGGGGGGATGTATGAGAATTAGTTATGCGACAATAAAGACCACGAAACAACTGAACCAACAGCAAATTGCAATCTAAAAAGGTGCGGCCTCAAAAGAAGCGTTACCTTGCACAAAGCGAAAGGGGGGGGGTGCGGTGTCAAAGGAACCCCACCATTTAGGCATGGTGCCCGCTTGCTTTTGTATGAGACGACGCCACTGACCAACGACAAGAATCGAAAGGGAACAAGGCATAAGCCCAGTTTGGACTTCATCGTTGATCCCAGCTGCGTTTGGGGTTAGGGTGGACGTAGTACAACAAGTACGGTAAGTCAGGGTAAGTTACAGGACATCAGCACCTCGGAACGGCAGATCCAAAGAATGAAATCTCCAGTCTGGTTTACCCCCAGAACACAAAAGAGTGTTTGTCCTTTGTTCAAAAGCATGATGCAACTACCGAGACTTTGTGGTTCCATGAGGTTCGTGGTTGGTCTAACAAACCTAACACATGCCACATCATGTTCATGTTTAATCATAGGAAGCCGGAAAGACTCAGACAGATCGTAGTTTGTTCAGGAAAAAAAACACCACATGACATGGTACAGAAATGTCCAGTACGTTTTGGAGGTGTGATGCTTTTCCATCAGTCTTGGATGTTGTGCCATCCCAGGTGGCTAGCCCGTTGCGTCGGCCAACGGTACACCCGTCCGTCCACACTGCGGTGGGGGAACGAATGATCTGCGCCCTTTTTGTGTCGTAGGCGGTTTGTTCCCAATGCATCGCATCCAAACCAACAGAGCGGGTTGGCCCAGAGGAGATTTCGGCCGAGTACCCCCGCATCGTGGCCGACTACATCCGTGTCCTCAACTATGCAGCTTCACGGGGAGCAATGGCAGCTGAATCGCAGGTGTTTTTGTGGGTGTTCTTTTGGAAGGTCTGATGCAGGGTTTGGAAGATAGACATGCCAAGGGTCATGTTCTTTTCGAAGTTGGTCATGTGGTCATGTGGTCCTGCCGTTTCAGGAATGCACATGGGGTTCACAAAACATTCCACCGCTAGAAGGATGCCATAACCACCGTAGAATGCGCGGTGGATGGGTTGACGTGCATGTTGAGACGTTCAGAGTGCGCGGTGCTGGGACTGGGTTTGAACCCACACCGATGTGGGGACGAGCTTTCCATTCCACCAAATCGGAGCGTGCTAAGAAGATGTTCCTTCTGAAGAAACACCATGAAACACCCTCGCTACAACATCTCAACTGGTGAATGTACGTTTGTGTATATATATATATATGGATTTGAAACCCTTTGGGTGAAGATCCTCAAGCTGATTACACCAGTCTACTGCCTGTTTGCCTGGGTGCGCGGAGTGCTCAAAGGAATGCCGTTGTGCTCGCGACTGCTTTCATGGCAACGATCCTATATTCTTGCTCGACTGCTCGCGCCATTACCCGCCTACGCTCCCTCCAATCTTGCAGGGTGGTGACTGGTGCCACACGATCTCACATGCCTATCAGGACCCAATGATCCAGTATGGATGTATCAGGAAGGATCAGGAAGGCACCATCTGTAAATGGCTACCTTTCATGACCTTTCATGCTGGGAACAGAATGCCTCCACAAGCCAACACAAACTGCCTCGATTTCTTGGCTCATACTCGTATATACAATGTGCCGTTTGATGATGACATGATGATGCTTAACTGAATGCTGCATCGTATGGACAGCTTAGGCAAGAACAGCAAGTCAAATGGTTTTCACGCATTCCATATCTATTACGGCATATAAAAAGATTTGAAAAGGAGGCACTCCGTTTGACCTTAGCAACTGCTTCAGTCCCTTTTGTTAAGGCCACATATGCTCTCCAAGAGCGACTTCGGCAGCTGCAGTGTTTCCTCGCCCGGAACAGTCGCATGGTGCTGGACCAAGAGACCCATGCCTCGCTCGCCCAGCTGGGCTTGTGTTGTTAGGCCGGGAGAAGACGAGTTGGGGTGTGGGAACCGCAGGTTCTCGGTTTTGCGGGATGCCGATGGATGACAGGATGAAGGGATCAGTGAGTGGACCCCCAAGGGCCAAGGGTCATGGCAGTGAAAATCCCACCAAACCCATGGGTTCGGTGTTTCCCTCGCGAACAGGAATCTCTTCAGAACTGACCCGCGGTCTGGCCGTGCCGTGCCCCGGTGCCATGAACCAAATGGATCGGTCGGCAGAGCCCGGCGGCCGCACGCAACGGTGATCGGCCGTGCCTCCAGGTTTGCCGAAGCAGCGGCGAGAGCGGAAGAAAGCGGAGATGCGAAAAAGACGTTGTTGTGGCACCGGGATCATTGTCAGACAGCGATGTTGTGGCACCAGGTTGCAGCCCTGCAAAACATTTGAAGAGTGTGATGTCATTCCAGTGTTTACATGAGCCAAACCTGTAGTGTTCACTGTACGTAGTAGCGACTCAGTAGCAGCCTTGTACTCCTTTGTTTATTTAGGGGATACAGCCATCCATCCTGTTGTCAACCGCCCAAAATATACCAAGACAAAGGTTTGACACTTCTCATGTAGAACCGGTCAATTAGAATCACAGGGTGACCTCAAGCTAAGCTGCCAGTGTGTGGTTAGACATGTGTAGCCGATAGGCGCGATAGGCGGCGGAACTCAACGCATCGAGATGTCAGGGTCCTATCCTCATTGAGGGAACACTGTAGTGACTCTATTTGGCTTCATGGGCAAAAGACCCAGGACCCTCAGGGCAAACCCTGTAAAGTCCCCAATTGGTATATTTATATATAGTATAGATTGATGATGATAACGATGATAGATGTAGAAAGTCGTATGTTTGTCAACTGGTCAATCTCCAATGCACTCAGGGAAAATCGCTACACGCAAAGCTTCACGGAGGATGTGCAGGCTACGTCGGTTTTTTGTGCGATGACCCCGCGGGAGTTGGCAAGTTTGTTACGGTACGATCAATTGCATCACGGGAATTTGGGAAGCATCACAATTTGGGAATGTAGACTGTGACTTAACTGTTTCACAAGCTGATGCACAGTGCCTCTGAACTGACGTTTTGTCATTTTTTGTTGCATTGGCAACGTTCGAAGAACGGAACCGGCTGCGTTCGCCCATGTTGGTCGCGTGAACGCCGCGCCGTGAAAGCCACGTGAAAGCCGCGTGAGGCCTTCGTTCATGCCATCGTGATGACCTCAGGTTTGCGCATCAAGAAAGAATGACTTCTCGAGAGAGAGAGAGAAAGACTAATTCGTAAGTAATTGTTCTCATGTATCTCATATGATATCCAGAATTTGCCCCCATCCCTTTATAGTATGTTTAAAGAGACGAAAGAGAGATCATTCAAAATTGTCAACGCATCGCGAGTCGCGGGGTGTAAGTTTGATAGACCCTCATAGGCGAACTAAACCTTCAATGTCCCTGCCATTTATGAGGACAGCAGAAACAGTGGAAACCGGAGTGCAAGTTTGTCTCAAACATATTGTTTTTCCACTTGTTGTTGGTGGTGAATGTTCATCTCTTTTGGAGGAACTTCTGATTACTTTCCAGGTCCATGTTTGGAGTGGGAGGTTCATCAAATCCTTCACCCACACTCCGGTCCGAGGAAATGCTTGCAGAACCACAGTATGGTGGTCTATACCGTATGGTGGTTCCGAAATAGATAGAGCCGACGATTTCCAATGCGCCTATACTGGGAATCTCTTTGCAGCTAGTTTGATGCTAACCCATGCATGCCTTGACAACTAGCCGGATCAATTAGAGTGTGCCTTCACAGCAATCAAGTGAGAAAGGGTCCTTTCCAAAGATCATGTTCTGCCAAATCTGGGTCAAAAACTGCTGCGCTATGCCTTTAGCCAAGAGTTTGGGCGCACAACATGTTCTTCGCTTTCCCGCGCTGGCCGCAGATCGCCACATCCGTTGGACTTGCGTTGGACTCCGTTGGGTGTTTGGATGTGCTTATGGCTTATGGAATAGGAAAGCTCCCAGGGTCCAATCGGTTTGTTTGTTTAGCTAGCTAGATCCGACCTATGCAGTACTGGGTAGACCTCAAGAGGACGAAAAATTGAAGCTGCTCAGAAGAAGTTCATAACAATTCGTGGAAAACGACATGTCCCAGACACTCCATGGAAGGAAAAGGCCGTCCCATTGGCCATTGACCCCTAAGACAAAGCCCCCCGGTATGTCAATAGGCCAATCCCATGGGTCGTGTTTGGGTGCTGCGTTTGGCTTCAGGATTGGAGGACGGACTTTTGGATCTTTGGGCTCTTCCTGGTCGAGCTCCTTGGATGCATAGCCTGCCGCTGTGCGCATGGCGGTGATGGTCTGTGCCGGTCAGCTGGCCGAATATTCCAACAGTATGACTCAGTATGACAGACGAAACAGAGCTGAAACATGTTCTTTTCATGTGTGTTGCAAGATGATGGAGTGTCATTCCGGGCCGAGAAGGCCGACTCGCAGTGTTTCTACACCGTTTCAGTTCCGATTTGTGCAACCATCGGAGACCGTTCGGACCCGTTCGGTGTGGCACCGTTCGGAGGTTTCTGGACCTTTTGATGGTCGTGATCAACCGGAGGCGCTGGTGGTGGTTCAAGGGCCAAAGGTATCTAAAGGATTCCAAAGGTTCTGTGTTTGTTCTGTGTAGAAGTCCAATACCAAATAGCTGGAGTAGTAGGCTGCTTTCAAAATGCTTTAAGCATGCTGAAGCATAGATTCATAGATCATGAGTTCCATTGATTGGGCTGCTACTTGGTCGACAACGTCTCGACTGCGCCACACCCAGGTCCTGGGAACGCTTAGCCATGATCTTCCTGGCAGCGCACTCAAGCCTTTTGGGGGGGGGTGAGGTTGCTTTGTTCGACAAGTGGCTGTCTTGAGCCCCACACGAACGCCGAGAAAAAACACGACAGCTCCAAAAAACTGTTCAGGCAACGAACGATGGTTAGCAGTGTCAGCTCAACAGTGGAATGATGACCAGAAAAAGATCTCACCATCCCATCCCCACTTTGCAAGCCTTATACCCAAGTGAGTCGAAACACCAGAGAATATATAATATATAGACAGGAACAAGAAAAAGATGAAGCTTTGCCAATCCTATTCCGGCCAGGATCGGAATCGATCGGAATCGTGCAAAAGCGCTTGAGGCCAACACCGGGATCCTGTATTGTGCGGAGTGGCTGAACCAGCTGGCGGCGGTCTGAGAGATTCGTCGACTTTTGGGGGTTTTCAGCCACGTTTTGGCCGCTGAATCGAGGCCAGCAAGAACTGGAAGACCTTCTCAAGCCAGGACTACTTCGATAAAGCAGGTGTCGGAGCCTTGTTCTGTTTGGTTGTTCTACCCGTGAGTGGCACCAGGTTGCACCAGTGAGTGACACGTTTCTACCACCCACTTCCCGCACGGAACCGGTGTGGCACGTTTCCACTGGTGACGTGATACGTGGAGTGATGTTTCTAGCAATGATGAAGTGGTTCTTGTCTACAACGCCAAAGCTGTTGAACTTCGCATGGTTTGTGGTTGCTTTTGGCAGCCTCATCCCAGTGATGACTTTGCTATAAGATGATGTGGATCCATGATGAGCCATCACATTGAATTGTTTCAGCTTGTGAAATGTCGGCCCAGCCGTTCCGCCGAAGACGACCCTCGCAACTGTTTATAACTCCAGACGTTTCTCAGAGTTCCAACGTGTCCCAGACTCCATTTGCAGTGCAGCCCCATTTCTTTACGCGAACTCAACGGGGGCCCACGGGAGCAGAACTTCGAGAGCCTCAGAAATGATGGCTGTGAAGGTCCGGTCCCCAACAATCAAAAGTCAAGCCCCTCCGAAGCACAGAGATGCATGCGTTCAAAGAGTTTCAGGTAGGAGCAAGGACGCTACTACTAGCTCCTGGCATCGCTACTAGTAACAAAGGGCATCGCTACTAGGAGCAAGTTTTCTGCAGTTTCAAGGGGACCTCGATGAGATGTCTCAGAATCTGGTGGCCGGTGGCCTTTGGCCCTATGTTCAAAAAGCAGTAAACATCTATATATATATAGAGCAGTGATAGGACCTCACCTAAAATTCTATTAGAAAATCTAGCGGCCCAGGTTCTCCTTAGAATATCAACAGGGATGTATGTATACATATATATATATATACATATGCATGCATGCTGCGCACATTTCTGACACCCTTGAAAGCGAGGAACGGGTGACGACTCAGCTGGAAAACGGGAACAACTCGTTTGCACCGGAACACGGCAGACGGAAGCGACTCGTTTTGGACTCCTCGTGGGGCGACTTAGTTTTGCAACAACCCGATGAAACGTAGACCAACCCGGTTCAAAAATGGACTTTTCTGTCCAAAGAGCTCCGGTTCCTGGACGATTCCAATTCGCATCGCCCATCCCAGGTCTTTGCATCTGTCCTGGTGGGTTTACCACTGCTGTTGGCTGCCCAGTGACCTCAATAAGAACCTGGGTGGGCGGCAAAACGGTTCCCTTCGAGCGGAAAAACCCGGTAGAACCGTTCCCCCACGTTGTGGCGGTTTTCAGCAAACAACCTTGTCGACATGTCGACAGCTGTCCCACGGAATTCCGTCTCAAACGGCGCACCCTCCGTACTTGATATGAGTAGTAACAAGTGCATCGCTAGTAGTAACAAGTGCCTTACTAGTAGTAACAAGAAGCTAGTAGAAACAATAAGCTATATAACATCACGAGTTTAGGCTCCGAACATGATCTCGCCTGGAATGTGTCCACTTCTGATGCAGGGGAAACAGGCGTTATTCAGTGCTTATCCTGCTCTGTCTCATTCCCATGGAACAACCGGTATAACATTAAACGTCAAATGAAGTGTCCCAAGACACACGAGCGTAGACCTACACCTCCCCGATGGATCAGTCAAACTATGATTCACACTGATGCAAAAGCACATCGCATTGTTCGTTGAGCTTTTGGCACCGAAGCTTCGACCGTCCAATCCTGCCTCTTCGACCGTCCAAGCCCCGAACACGAATTCGAGGAACAACCACACCCAGTACGCATGATAATTTAGTTGCGTGAACACCGCATGCGTTTTTTTCTGAGCGAGTGGGGTGCTATTCGACGACGGCTGAAAAGATCCAGGGCGGGTGCTGCATCGGCCCAGTCATCCCCAAGACAAACTCCCTTGGGATCCCAAGAGGTTCAATTGCTTTGTTTCTATAATTATAAGCTCCCAGATGCTCCATGCGAGTATATCTCTATACATTAACCCTTTTCAACCACAATAGAGAGAATGATGGGGGAATGTCCCTTTCCACAGGAAAAGGCCTCAGTCTTTGCCAGAAAGTGGTCTTCTGGACAACTCGCACTACAGACACTTAGAGGTATTGGACATGGTTCTTCTTTTTGTGTTGCTTGATGTTGGTACTCACGTACTTTGGTTTATCAGATGGATGAGTAAGAAACCTGCATTTCACTGGAGGCTGTGCCAATTTCTGATTGTTGGCTTCCTTCTGAAAGAGGCCTGGGAAGACTCGCGCCGCTATCATGTGCTCCATCGGAAGTGTTCGGTGAAGCGACTTGCAGTTTCGCAAGCAATACAATATGGCCTTCGCATTCATTCTTAGGCAATATGGGTGCCAGCTAAGACAAAAATGTGGCCACAATCAGTCAGTATCTAGGCTGTGGATTGCCTTCCAAACTATCTACACACACTTTAAAAATCCTTAGGAAGGGTTTAACAGTTTGGCACTCTTCTTGAGCAAACTGGTGATGTGAGGTCATGAAGTTCGTTGGATCCCTCGGGTACCCACCCGCCCATTTTACTATCGTCCCGACACAATTCTGCATGTCTCTTGGCCAAAAAAGCATGTGTTTGGAGGCTGGCTCAATGGTGATCCAGGCCACTTGCTGGGAAGGGTACATTAACACCAGGGACAATTGAATTTGAGCCCTTTTTTGGTCGGACCAGTTGACCCCGACGAACCACCACCACCACCACCACCGCCGCCGCCACCCACCACCACCGCCACCACTACGTACCACTACCACTACCACTACCACTACCACTACTACCACACTTCCAGTTTTTTGTGTTCTGTTTTGCTGTGAAATGCTGTGAACATGTCCACGGGTTGACTCTGGTTTCCGAAGGGGAAGTCCACAGTGAAAAGCTTCTTGATTCACACTCGTATTATGCACTCCAGCAACAGTGAACAGTGTAGTGCATCGAAACAATTTGATGGATTCTGTGAGCTTCAAGACGTTGCCAAAACGCATGAACAGAAGCTGGGAGCCACCTGACTTCTCCCTCTCACAGCCAATGGGTTGGGTTGATCTTAGATGTAACTTCGCGACTTTTCGGAAAGCGAAAACAACTCGGTGGAGTCTATGACAGAATCTAGAGATGTTGAGGCTTCTTTCCCGAGCTTAGGTGGGCCCACTTGTTAAGAAGAAATCATCTCTTAAGGTTGTTCAGGCAGTCTGCGTTTGGCTCGAATCCAACGTGCCTAGGTGAAGAGATTGGAATTGAAGCAGGCCCGAAAAAAGGCTCGGGCATAAAATGGGTTTGTGGCGCAGAGTTGGCGCTTCCACAGTTTTGTCCTCCAAAAATTTTGGCGGACCATTGCTGGCTTTGCGTTGAAGTTACGCAGGCTCCAACTACCTCCAGTTCATTAATAGATATTAATAGATAAATCTTGCATGTTTGGCTTTATCATCCGGAATCTCTGCCTGTAGGCCAAGGATGAATAAAGAATTGATAGAAAATATTATATTAAAATCTAATAACAGTTGTTTTCAAATAGCCGTAACAAAAATTGGTAACAAATTGGTGAAGATATGAATCGTTTTTGAAAATTATAGTTAAGGGCATTTTCTTGGAAGATGATATGGGACATTTAGAAAATTATATGTTTATTGTGATATATATACATACATTGTTTTTTTTGTTAGATTTAATCTATGTTGGTATATTATTTTGATATAATAGTAATTTTAATAATTTAGATAAGGATTTGAAATGTATTTTTTTATGAATTTGTGGTTTTGTAAATATGAATTTGGATGGTTATATTTTGGTTGGTTTTAGTTTATGAATAAAGATCAAATTTTTGTTATATTATATATTTTAGAAATATTGTTTTTTGTATTTTAGGTTTATATATATATATATGTAGAATAATGTTTTTTATTTAGATGTATTGATTGCGAAATTGTGTTTTTATTGTATGGGTTTCGTTTGGGCGGCGTCGATTCTTTTTTAGGAGGAGTGTAGTATGGGTAATTAAAGGCGTTTGTGTAGTTTCGGTGATTGTTAATGTATGTGGATTGGCGATCGTTTGGGAGGATTTAGGTGTTGATATTATTGTTTTCTACGAATATTTATTGGTATGGTGATAATTAAAATCTTAGGTTTGTGGTAAGTTATGGTTTGTGTTAAAGCCTACAAAAATGGAGATGTTAAGTTTAAGCTTGCAT